TATTTAATGTTTATTATTTATTTTATAAAAGTTGAACTCTGCTCCTAACAAAAAGCGTAGAATACCAAATTTCCAACTTTGTACAAAAACTATAAAAATTAATTCTGCAATGTTTCACTAAAATTGAATGTAATAAAAAAGAGCGAGTGAAAATTCTGCTCATTTGCTTATCTTTCAAAAAAATTATCGGACACCGCCACAAAAAAAAAACATTGCCAAAAATTAATGGTAAGCCTTGGCGACTTAAAATCGCACTTTATTATAATCAAATTTAACAAATTTTACGGGGTGAAAGGATACTGTTGCAGCGCTAATACATCTAGGATCGTTGAAGAAGGCTTTAAGATCTGTAAGCTGCTGTGGAAAAAATTTTCAAAATTATTTTTTGTCCCGTATTCAGCTCTCATAAATATGGTCACCGTAGCCATACAGTTATTGTCTCAAATAAACCGAGTTACTTGCTTATGTGTATGTACATATCTACAACCAGAAAAGGTACTGAAAGCTTGATTCGCCAGTTGTATAAAAAATTTTGCTAGCACTTCTGGCACGCAGCGGACGTTAGGCTGTTTTAAATAAAACAAGATCATTGAACCAAGTTTGGTAGAAATCAATAAAGCGGTTACCGAGATAGATCTTTGTAGTCATAAAGGGGGCGGTGAATTCGTAGAAGCCTATAACAGTCTTATTTATTGTTAAGCGATTGTTGAAAGTATTAACTTGGAGTGAATTGTATCCTCCTACTGATTTACCGCAGTTTTCGTGTTTTTGTAAAATACCGTAATAGCATTTTCCCACGGCATCCTGAATTACTTTATTCGCTCCCCCCAATTACGATCGCGAATTACCCCATTCCCACGGGCATATTCTTAATTCGACTTGACAGTTCTGTCTCTGTTTTGTTTTTGTTTTTCTTCGCTGAAAAATTTATGCAAAATTTAGTTTCTTCCTGAAAATTTATAAATTTCCGTATTAAATTAGGGATATACACATCTATAAACTTTAGTTTTCGTACTCAGAAAAAATGCAAGTTCTAATTTGTGAGCTAGCTTCGATAAATTTCCGATAAAAATTTGAGCCGACACCGATATGTTCGTAATTCGCATGGTAATTGTATCTGAATTACAAACAAATGAGGTAATTCGCTTTCAAAATTTTGTATGGCGAATTACGTAAATCGTAGGGTAATTGGAGTGCGCATTACGAATGAGAGAGAGAACTACGTAATTGGATTGCCGTATTATATGGAAGGTAGGCGTGGTTATGGCCCGATTTCAAAGATTTTCAACGGATTTCTTAGGTGGACCCTAAGCAAGGCTTGGGCAGGGTTTGGTAAGGATTAGTGAAGCGGCTACTGAGATACAGCATTTCAAAGTAAGTGGGCGGGGTCACGCCCATTTTCCAAAAATTGCATAATAATCGCCCTCATTGCGAAAGTCGTGTCAAAAGCAAGTAGTTTTTCGAGAGTCGATTCGTATCGAAAATTTCCACTCGACTAGTTTATGAAAACGGAAAAACATGGCAGCACTGTACAGTTTGCGAAGAGTTTCGTCGTTTATGCACAATTAATACAAATAGAATCGAGTAAGAATCTTATTTGTAGCAATTTGTATTTGCGCAAATATTTGTGTGATGTATTTTTCGCATTACTTATTTCAGCACAACAGTAGACAATTCCAATGTTTTCGAGTCGTAAAATGTAGCCTAATTTACGACTTGCGCAATGAGGCTGAATATTATTTCTTACCATAATTCTACTTCACATACTAATAATTTAGATTGAATATTTACTAAAATAGCGTTTCTAAAATACCGTTATATGGGAAGTGGGCGTGGTTACAGTCCGATTTCGCCCATTTTATATACCAACCTTCCTTGGGTAAAGAGCAACCTACATACCAAATTTCGTTGAGATATCTAAATTTTTGCTCGGGTTATCATGTACACGGACGGACGGACAGACAGACAGACATGGCTGACATTTATGTATACATTTGTCTATATCTATCTTGGTTCGTTTTGGCTGTTACAAACAACCGTTATGTGAACAAAATTATAATGCCCTTGTGCACATGTGCGCTCGGATATAAAAATAAACCATAATTTCTTCCTACTTATTGTAACCAAACCTCAAAAAGAATTAATAAACATTTTATATGTTACTTTGTTAATTTTTTAACAGCTTTAAGCATGATTCAATAATACAAGGTTGTGTAATTTGTGACAGCTAAAATTTGACACTCCTTTATCTAGATTTGTATTTTGGAAGTAGGAGAAAGGGGAAGAATGTGATCGCCTTTTGCGGAAACGGTAGTGGAAAGGTACTACAAAAAGTACGCAAAGTATACAATTAGAAGTAAAATGTGTATTATTTATTCTATGAGAATTTGCAATATATTTGGTGTTTTAATGGAAATACTAGACAATATATAAATATGTGCATTTTTGATTTAAGTTATTCATCATTTCCTGGAACCGACCGTTCAGCTATGCAAAAACGAAAACTGCAAATCAATAGAAGTTTTTATGCTTATTTCAACCATGCCAAAATTATTTGGCGTAAGTAAAAAAATCAAGACGTTCTAGAAGGTTAAAGTTCAGTTTTTAAATTTTGTAAATATTAATAATTTACGAACTGTAGGTATAACCGATAAAAAAAACGAATGACGCCACCATAAAGATATTTAATTTGTTTTTCAGCTGGTGTACATAATTTATAGCTTCTTGTATTTTTACACCAAAACCACTAAAAAACGAACAAATGTTATTTTTTCATGAAAAAATCTTTTTTGGAAAAAAACTGCATAATTAATGGTAAAGAAATTTATATTATTTAGAAAGTACATGTTATTAGCCCTGTTCGCGTACGCACTATCCAGTAAATCCAGTACTAATTTTACTGGTTTTTTACTGGATGTCGTTTTCGTGCGCAAAAACTTGCAAGAAACTAGCAAAAGAGGGGAAATTGAGAGGAAAAATGACAGCTGAACTTGCAAGTTTTATTGGATTTTTTACTGGATAAATTTTTACTAGCAACTAATTGCAAACAAATTAACCAGCTGTTCATAAAACTAGCAGCTTCTTGCTGGTTTTGCATTTTCGTACTTTCTTGCATATTTCACTCATTGGGAGTAAATATTGGCTTACTCTCTGAAATTTGGTTACTGGCAGAAGAAAACACAACTATTATCTTTAATTCGATATTACATATTTTATCATGATGTACTTTTGTGTTTCAACAATTCAGTCATAATAAAAATACAAATAAACAAAGCAAATAAACATCTTATATCTTCGTTATTTTTTGCCTGTGCCAAATAAATTTGGTATCGTTGTAATTAGCGTAAAAAGTTCTATCTATCGGCATTTTTGGTTATTTTATAGCTAAACGGTTACTATTCTACACTTGCACCCTCATTGCAAGAGTCGTATCGAATGTAAGTCGTTTTTCGAGAGTCGAATCGTATCGAAAATTTCACGTCATTGCCTAAAATTTCCATTCGACTAGTGTATTAAAACGGAAAAACTTGGCAGCACTGCGAAGTTTTCGACGATTTTCGTCGTTTACCTATTTCAGCACGACAGTAGGCAATGGCAATGTTGTCGGGTCGTACAATTTAGCCTAATTTACGTCTTGCGCAATGAGGCTGTTGTTCTAGAAAATTACGCAAACGAAGGTGATGCCAACGAATATTTAGTNTTTTTAAATTTTGTAAATATTAATAATTTACGAACTGTAGGTATAACCGATAAAAAAAACGAATGACGCCACCATAAAGATATTTAATTTGTTTTTCAGCTGGTGTACATAATTTATAGCTTCTTGTATTTTTACACCAAAACCACTAAAAAACGAACAAATGTTATTTTTTCATGAAAAAATCTTTTTTGGAAAAAAACTGCATAATTAATGGTAAAGAAATTTATATTATTTAGAAAGTACATGTTATTAGCCCTGTTCGCGTACGCACTATCCAGTAAATCCAGTACTAATTTTACTGGTTTTTTACTGGATGTCGTTTTCGTGCGCAAAAACTTGCAAGAAACTAGCAAAAGAGGGGAAATTGAGAGGAAAAATGACAGCTGAACTTGCAAGTTTTATTGGATTTTTTACTGGATAAATTTTTACTAGCAACTAATTGCAAACAAATTAACCAGCTGTTCATAAAACTAGCAGCTTCTTGCTGGTTTTGCATTTTCGTACTTTCTTGCATATTTCACTCATTGGGAGTAAATATTGGCTTACTCTCTGAAATTTGGTTACTGGCAGAAGAAAACACAACTATTATCTTTAATTCGATATTACATATTTTATCATGATGTACTTTTGTGTTTCAACAATTCAGTCATAATAAAAATACAAATAAACAAAGCAAATAAACATCTTATATCTTCGTTATTTTTTGCCTGTGCCAAATAAATTTGGTATCGTTGTAATTAGCGTAAAAAGTTCTATCTATCGGCATTTTTGGTTATTTTATAGCTAAACGGTTACTATTCTACACTTGCACCCTCATTGCAAGAGTCGTATCGAATGTAAGTCGTTTTTCGAGAGTCGAATCGTATCGAAAATTTCACGTCATTGCCTAAAATTTCCATTCGACTAGTGTATTAAAACGGAAAAACTTGGCAGCACTGCGAAGTTTTCGACGATTTTCGTCGTTTACCTATTTCAGCACGACAGTAGGCAATGGCAATGTTGTCGGGTCGTACAATTTAGCCTAATTTACGTCTTGCGCAATGAGGCTGTTGTTCTAGAAAATTACGCAAACGAAGGTGATGCCAACGAATATTTAGTATGACGAATTTTGGGTTTTACTACTAATATCACTAGAAACTGTAGAGTAAGCAACATTCTGCACAAGTAAAGGAGCCGATTTTATGTGTGGGAGCGAGAAGACTGTTTTATTACAAAACCTTTCTATTATTGAATCATGAGCTTTAAGCAAAAGGGTTTCATAAAAGCTTTTTTTTAGATCCATTAAAAAACGTAGCCAAACTTTTTGTTTTTCAAATAACATTTTTGAATCGAATGGGCAGAGCTCCTATTTTAGCAAAAAAATACAAACCAATTAAAATTTTTTAATACTGCTTGCCTTAGATATAGATCCTCGCGTTTATCATTAGCTAAATTCAACAACTAAAATTAAATACATCCAATCTCTTAAATTGAATTGAGTTTCATAAACGAACGACTGTCGTTCTAGCACTCAAGAGTATGGTGGGAATATTCCTTTTGATTTTTAATCAGTAGGGAAGGAAATAAGTTTATGTAAAAAAATTAACTATTTAAGGCATTTTCTTAGTAAAGCAATTAAGTAAATATATCAGACCATTTGAAAAAAGAATCAAATACATTGGCTATTATCTTTTAGAATTTTTGTTTCAAATAATATGTATGTATGTAGGTATACAAAAGAATACAACCGGTATAATATTACTATGCGAAACTTACAGTTAATGGCGTCTCGAATTACATATACCAGTCATTTAAAAGCTAGTTAATAAAAAAATTATACATACTCACATATCAACTATGTAATTGAATTGTACATATTCCTATTTTAACTAATTTATCCAAAGCAACTAAAGATTGGTTTTCCGCAGGACTGAAAGAAGGTATCATTACGCTGGGTAGTGCGTTTAAAATTTCACATTTTATGTGGTAAATAAATTTTGCTGCGTTGTGTCATTCTCAAAATCAGTCCATGCATTGTTTAGCTCAATAAATATTAATTTAGCTATGCTCTCATTTTCTGTGCCGTTGTGCTAAATAGAAATCATACGAAAATCAGCTAAAACACACAGTCTTAATGCACTATTTTTCTCACCTTATCTGGGTGTACAGCCAGACATGCACGTCTATAAGATTTTTTCACATCTGCCGGCGAAATGAGCGTAGACATTTCACATTTAGTCCATTTTGCATCCGTCCAAAGCACTGTGTGCATAGAACATAAGAGTGCTCTTATGTTGTTCTTTTTGCCTTCAGTCTATCAAATTATAATCAGGTAAAAAATTCCCCCACGAATTGAACAAAGTACACATACCCATTCTATGATTTTTACTTTTTCTGGATCCATTTCTTTAATGAGATCCTCCTTACGCATTTCGTTAATGGACCGCGGGCCTTGATTCATTTTACTGCCAAACCTATAGCCTTGTTCTCCTAGTATGTCGGCAAAAATGTCTGCATTTTTTGCTTGTGCGCCGGCGTTTTGCCCCGATTTAGGTGTGTCGAAATTCGATCGACTATAGTCTGGTCTATTCGACTGGGTAGTTGATCCCCCCGATGCAACAGTAGTTTGTGGTGATGGCCGATTTGTGTTTTGGCTTGAAGACGATGAAAATGTTGTAGGACCAGCTGCAAAGGATGCACCAAAACCCCCTACCCCACTTGGAGACGTTATATGATTCGGCGAGACAGTAGCAGCCGGTTGCTGTGACTGTGGTGTTCGCACACTGCTGGCGTTGTGTGTTGGACTCGAGAATTGTGTAGTATATGGGCTATTTCCGATGGGTGTAGCACCTGTTGATTTACTGCCTAACGTGTGTGGGTTGAAGTTGATATTGAGACCAGAGGCTAAATTGGCAATGTCAGCAAATGGATCTTTGGGCTGAAAAAATCCAATAGTAGCTAGTCATAAATATAACAAAAAAGTTACGTTTATACGAACATTTTGTGGTGATGGTTCCTTGCTGGGATTCGTGTTGAATGTAGGCACTGAGCCAAAGTAAGTACCAGTTGCTGAGGTTGGGGTTACTTTAGTCGTCGCTGAAGTGTTTACACTAGTTGGTGTCGGCTGGTGTACAGAGAAACTATTAAACTCCAGGTTGATTTTCGGCGCCGGTGAAGCAACTGAGCCGAAGATATCATCAAGGTTGGCATTTGAAGTAGGTTGTACATTAATTTCTAAAATATAAATTTAGGTCTCAATTCAGAACTTGGCAAGATATAAATTTGAATCGCCACCTTAAAGTCTAAGACTTTTTTGAATCTACCAAACCTTTACCTAAAATATCAGGTATTGGAGCCGAGCCGATGCCAGATGAATTATCATCCCCGAATGCTCCAAGCAAATCGAAACTAGCGTCACTCGTAGGCATAACCGTGGCTTGTGGATCTTGCACCGGCAGCTGGGGTTGGGGCTGGTTTAAATTAAGCAAGTCTATTGGTGGTGATGGTTGAGGTTGGATTCGAGGTACATCCTCTTGCTNAGGCATAACCGTGGCTTGTGGATCTTGCACCGGCAGCTGGGGTTGGGGCTGGTTTAAATTAAGCAAGTCTATTGGTGGTGATGGTTGAGGTTGGATTCGAGGTACATCCTCTTGCTTTATTTCGGTAACATCAGGTAAAATAGGCGTTGAATCAGAACGCAATAGTTTGGGTACATTATCTACCGAAGCAACTGACTTAACAGGCGTAGGTTTGTTAATGGAACTAGGTTTTGTCACTGTAGTAAGGAAAATAAATAAATTAATGAAATGGGCTGAAATACTATAGGGACTTGCCGAAATTATCCACCATTTCCTCGAATTCTAATTGTGAACTAAATATATGTTGTGCGTTTCTTATGGGCTTTGCTGGTAACCAAGGAGGATTCCTACTCGGCGGGCATTCGTTATCTGTGAAACTCAACGACAGCGAAACCGAAAAGTCATGAGGAACCTGATCGGCATCCGGTAAATCATCGAGATCATTCGAGGAAAATGTTATCAATGTTTCTTGTTCCGGTATGAAGCCCGTGTTGATTTGAAATTGACAAATCTTCAAACTCTGAGGACGCACCATGCCTTTAAGTGCATTCCGCGCATGATAAAGCACCACTATCAGATCTCCACAAACCGTTAGATTTATGGGCAACATAATTTTTCCCGGTCCTGCTAAATACAGCCTGAGAACGGTTGAATTTTTATTGTTAACATTGAGAAAAACCTTGAAATTCTAACAATCTCTTGCTCACCTCATCTTTTCGTAGTCCTGCAAAGTGCTGAGCACTAGTCGATCATTGCAGTAGACTTCCATGTAAATGCGAGATCCATCACGTGCTTTGGTCATACGGGGCACGGGTTGGCAACACAAAGATACTAAGTTGATACTTTTGTAATGCGGTAACAATGGTGTTGGACGCAAAACATCGCCAAAATAATATAAATAACGAAATTCCGATGGTCTAAGGTTAATGGGGTGACGTTTTACAGCGAAAACTTGGACAGCGTCTTCGGGTTCATGAATTAAGTTCGCATACATAAGAAGCGCGGCAACTATCGTTGCGGCAGAACAACCACCTGAGTCGTTCGTTTGTATAATAACAACAGATTTAGGATCCGCGGCTAAAAAGCTGTACATGTCTTCGACAACTGAAAACATGCCTTGCAAGCTGGGTGAATGCGCCTGCATGCAAATATATATAGAGCCAACTTCGACAGTACGCACAGGTGGTGGTAATCGAGGGCAGTTGCTTTGGCCAAAGTTATATATGCTCACTGTTTGAGGTGGAAAGCGACTTTCAATTGATAATCGCACATCCTCAATATTATTAGTTTTATAAGCAGATTCGAACCCTTCTGACGGACAAGGCATCACAAGAATACGCGATGTTATATAGCTGATATCTAAGTCAGTTCGCGCGATAGTTTGTTGCATCGTTTGCATTACCTTAGATGAAGTATCTTTAAGGTTTTTTAGAAAACTTCCTGCCCCACCGCGCAACGACGAAAACAAACTACTATTAGAAGTGACAGTATTTCCCGATTGTGCACTTGTCGGATTATTGTTTTGATGTTGGTTCGCTTGATGAATACTGACTGGCTGCGAATTTGGTCCTGATGGGTCATCCAAATAAAACATCGATTTACCCATGTTCTCTACAACTCCAGATGCTGGTGTGCCATTGCCACCACTAAGGTGAGGTGTATTTGTACCGTTCACGGGAGTACTGGGCTGGGGAGATTCTATAGGCTTACCGCGTAATTCAAGACCACTTTTCAGCGACCAATTTTTTGTTTCCGCTATAGATGCCAGACGTTCTAGAACCGTCGATATATTAAAGCGATGCGCTGGATTCACAGTTAGACACCCTAAAGAGCGAACTAAGTTTATAATCTCAAATTAATATACTTTATATTATTACCTTTGATTATTTCATGAAAACAGTGAAAACGAGGATCGGTAGGTAAAATATAGTTCCCATTTACGATCCGCAATTTAGCTGAATCTTCAAAAGGATGTTTTTGAAAACATAAAGCATATAATACGCAACCCAAAGCCCAAACATCCACCTTTATACCAATTTCATAATTTGACCAGGTGTCCAACATTTCAGGTGCACGATACATTGGTGTTGTAACAGAGCTGAGCTGGAATGTGAGTGGAAACCCAATGCATATTAACCATTTATATTAAAAATTAATTAATTACAGTATGCACCTTATCCTCCAGAAGATTTCGTTGTTTAGCTCCCCAATCAACAGTCGGGGCATATGTGTCTTTAGTTGCTGATCCAAAGTCACAAAGTTTAAGTAGTTTATCATTTCCAATTAGAAAGTTTTCAATCTGCCAAAATTAAAATGAAAATCAATTAACCATAACCTGCATGCAGACTCTTGGATTTATTCGCTTACCTTAATATCGCGATGTGTCATAGGTGGAGACTGACTGTGCATATGAGCCACTGCTCGACAGGCTTGGTAGAAAACACGTAGCACCAAAGCAGGTTCTAGTGATGCATTCAAGCAATCTATAAGCGATCCTCCTTTTTGTTTGAAAATGTACGGAAATGAAATTTAAGCTTATTTTGTTGAGAGTTCATTTTACCATTACAAAGCTCCGTTAATAGCAAGTATTCAGCACGCTGTTGAGGTCCAGTTGTTTTATCAACAAATGCTGCTCCAACAAATGCAACAATATTTGGATGACCAGAAAGCTGTTTGTGTGTGTTAATTTCATTAATGATAGCATTGCAAGCTTGCTTATCAGTGCCAATGAGACGTTTGAGGGCGTATTCTTTTCCCGTCTGAACATCTTGAGCGACATATACAAATGCAAAACCGCCTGCAATTAAATACAAAATAATACAAGTTTGAGAATGCCGAGGAAAACTTGATAAGAATCATTAGTGATAACAGATAAAAAGAAACTTATTAAATTTTATATGCATTGGGACTACCTATTCCTATGATTATGTGTATTGTTTACGGGTATTTCAATTATTTTAATTTATGGAAAAATCAGTCCAAAATTATTCCAAATTAAAAAATTTGGGAGATCTTTAGCAATTTGTACAACGATTTAGGGGTGGGGCGGAGGGGGAGGGCGTGGCTCCCCAAAACCCCCTAAACGAAAGAGGATGAACGCCGCTTTATGAAAAGTCACCCCTCAACCCCGTCCTTCTTCCCCCCCTAAAGAACCATTGGGAGCTGTTTGAAAACATGGGAAATTTGGATTTTTCCCAAAACGATTATAACCCTCACTACTACTTTCTCTGTTGCCCAAGAAGAGGGGCTGAACACCTGAAGAAAAGGGGCTGAACAACTTTTGCAGAAAACAGCTTTCTGCGTAGACGGCCTCGGGCGCGCTTAGGGATTATAACCCTCACTAAGTAGAATTCTTCTTTATGTTTTGCTAAAGAAGAGGGACTGAACACCTTTTGTAGAGATATTTCGTGGAAATTTTTTTTTGACAGCTCAGCTCGGAAACTTGCAAGAAATACCATATTTCCAACCGACATTATTAATAAATTAGCGCACAGATATAGTAAATTTTATTTTTGTAATAAAGCGTGAACTGTTGTCTACAAGTGTGTGTAAAAGGTTTTTGATTCGATTCACGCGTTTGGGCGTTGTACAAATTCAGAGTACCCAAAAATTTAAATATATCAGATACATAAGTCCGAGGAGTTGCAGTAAAAGTACCTACTTGACTAGTTTATATTGTTACTAATATAAATTTATTTAATAAAAGGATTTTATTTTTATTTTCATTGCATTAGCTGTCGAGGTGCAGGAATGGTTTGCACTATTGATTTTTCGTTGTCGCTCAGATTATTCATAGGTGGCAAAATACCAGTAATATTGCAAACACCCAATCTGGGGGGCAGTAGAAGATGCTTACCTTCTGCAATAACACGCTTTACACCGAGCTTTTGACCTGCTACCTCAACAACTTGGCCACAGAACTCGTTTGTCGTTATGTTTTCACTAGGAGACACGCTGCCAGAATTTCCAAGGACAGAATCTGCCACTGTATTCGGGTTTGGGGCTGTATTGAAGTAGCCCATTGCAGATTTAAAGAATTCACTCATTTTATATTACGCGAACTTTTTGCTCTAGTCAACAATAATGCCCGCGTTCTCCTTCGAATTAATTTTTTAAATTGCTTTGCACAGAATTTTCAGAAAACTTCACTTTTTAACAATACTTGTGTTTTTCAAAGAAGACCAAGGGAAATTACGCCATGACAGCGCAACAACAATAAAAACACGAAATCAAATGGATTTGCCGTTGCCACCCTATTACAGAAACTTTACCAGCCAAGAACAGTGATGAAATTGATAGTACAATTGCACTTTTTTGGTTAGTTTGGATCCCAAAAGGTCACTGGCGCATATTCATAGTCATATTTAGTACTCAACTAAGTCGAAACTTTTCTAATACTAGGTTCACATATAAGTAGATTATCCTCATTTTCGAGCTTAACACCCTAATCTGTAATTATAACAAGAGATTAGCCATATAAAATTCGTCCCTTGTTAATCTGTAATTATAAAATAATCTCAGATTTAACCGATAACTTTTCGGTGTCCATCCTAGTTTTATCGATTGTTTTTGCGAAAGAGAAGAGAAACGCCAAATGTAAAAGTAAACAAAAATGTACGCTAGCAAGTAAAAGAGGTTTGTAAAGGCATTTTTAATAAAATGTTAAGTTAAAATATATTTATATTGCTTATTATAGCAGAAAAACGTGATCACGGTGGCACAGAGAAGAAACATAACTTTTCCTTGAGATGTGAGAATAACAAGCACAACAAATTTGACGGCTAATAATCTGAGATTTGCCTGTGTAAACGGGGTGATTAAAAAACGAGCTTTGATTGAGATAATATTGATATGTGAACATAGTCTAAGTCACAACTAAAGCTATTCATAGTCGCCTTAGTTTCGACTTTTCTGGTTAAGTACCAACTTAAAATTTAGTTTCGGCTGCAGTTGCAACTAAGTCTTACTAGGAAGAAGTATTTTATCAAATTAAGGGAAAACAGACGAAATATGTAAAAATCAAGTTGGTAGAGGGTGATTTTGATAATATTGAATAATCTCTATTATTAAGAACAGCGTACTGCCTTAAGGAAATTTGACTCAAGAAAATTTCTTAGCCATTTCTTGTACGTCATTTTATATGGAGTTTTTGCTTTTCTTGAGAGCNAATCGTATGCTTTTGACAAACAGCCGTGTTCCAGTCTCTTATTTAGATGCGTATATATTACGATCAATTCTCACGCAGAAGATAATGTGCAAAAACCCTACTGAAAAGGAAAAAATAAATTTTAAACCAAAAATTCAACACAAAAACTTTAATTGTTTTAACCACAACCGAACATTTGTTGGTGTATATATTCATTTGTCGGTGCTGTCAATTAAAATTTCCTCACTTAATTAGGAAACAAACCAAACAGAGTTGATCACAAATTGATCCAGATTTCTATCAGCATCAAATCGATGTTGAATTTGCTTAACTTTTCTTTATCCAAATATGTAATGCAAAATAAAAGAAATCTCGATCGGCGATCACTGAAACGCAGCTAGCAACTGTATACTCGAAAAAGCAATGTTGCTACTTTTTCTCTTTAAACCATTGGGGTGTTCACAGTTCGTTCCAAATTGTGTCTGAAAATGTAGACGTCTACATTTTGAGACATCTTTAGCATCAAACTGTGAGCACCCCTT